TCAGGTTCTTGCTTCTCCATCACGGAAAACATCGTTTTTTGTTGTTGGTATGAACACGACGATTGTTGAACGAATAATTTTTATTGAAGAGAAGAAAAGAGAGAAAAGTGAGAAGTTAGGAAAAAAATGTTGATATTATTGAAAATGGAATTCCATTTTTTTTTGACAGCATGGTTCCTTATTGCGATTAGTGTTCGTCGAATTTTACTTTTCATCCGCATTTGTCACGTATCGACTGTTTGGCCTTTTGTCGCTCTATGATCTACAAATTAGGAACTGTGAATTTTGTGGAAATATGTCGGAGAAATGGAACAACATCAAATGAAGAAAATTTTTGGTCGCTTAATTATCACTGTAATTTTTCAAATATGTTATTGGAAATTTGACGTAATACATGAGATTCCAGTGGCAAGACAAAATCTTTTCCCTTTTCCATTTGAAGTCATGAAACAGGACGTTCTCAGACGAATTTTTAGATCTTTTTTTCGAGACAATCAATGGGAAACTCAGAAAAGTGCTTCAGTCAGCAAATTTCCTTTTCAGTGACAATCAGAAAATCACACTCTTGCATGGGAACTAAAATATAATAATGAAAAAGTAATATACTTCTGAAACGTTATTTCGTCAGTCGTTATTTCAGGACTCAAAGTCAACTACATTTTGCGGAATAGATTCATTTGAACTTTATGATGATGATGTGGAAAGGTTCAAAACGTTGCTATATTTGGACTACTTCGAGATCGCTGAATCAACGGTCAAAACATTACCGAACAAAACTGATGGTTCTACAAGCAGTGAACCACTAACATCTTCGTGGAAAAGACAGTACTAAGGAACGACAAAACAGTGCCCAGTAGTATAAGAGTGGCATTTAAATGCACATAACGAGTAATAGATATTGAACGATTGAATGCATAGGCTGACCTCTTCAGAGACGACCTTACGATCGTATACGAGCCCAGCGGAGGCCATCCAATCAATGACCACTTTGGTGATATTATGAACAAACGAATACTCTGAGGTACGGTAATCTTGTGGGAATACGTGATGATAGTTGTGACCACCTTCACCAGCAGCTAGCACAGCCAACTGTAATAATTCAAGATTTTCAATTGCAATTTTCATGACATTCGCATGAGCGCTCGAAAATGTCCGTGTCGAAAAGTTGAGGATTTGCTCTCACCAAGAGCTCCTCAGGTAACGAAACCGAGAATTAACCGAGTGAAAATTCACTTGATTTTGGCAATACTGCAGATATGCCTACCCAAAATGAATCCGTTGGAGTGATTTGTTCCTCGTACGGCTTGAAACCAAACTTATGAGCTGCTGAATTGATCAGCCATGTTTCATGCAGACAGAAACAATATCTGAAATGAACAATTCTATCACATCCACCTAAAATGCCACAACACTCTTCGTTTAGTCAAGTGGAAACCAAAACATTCTTTCTCTTGTTTCTAAACAGAATTATTCCCTTTCTTTGTCGCACACTCATAGAAATGTATTGAAAAGTTTTGTAATATTACAATTCGTTTGACTTTGAATAGACAATGTATTAATGACTGAATGTTCCAATGACAGGATATTAATTTCAAAGTAAACCAAATCACCTGAACACCGCAGCAGTTAGGAAGGCGACGAGTGCAGACTCGCGCCAGAAATACACGGGTACAGCCGTAGGGATCAGGAAGCAACACAGCAGGGCGAGTAGTTTATAGTGCCTGCAAGTGGTTTATAAAAAGAAGTTGAACGAAAACGCACCGCTTCCCAGGAAATTTATAACATTCTTCATAATGCTCTGTGTTGGTAAAAGAAGGTTTTGAAGAAATGAAAAATAATTTTACTTTCGCTGAAACATCAGAATTTCATCTGCATACAAATCGCTCAGATCCAGCCGTGCACCTCTACGTTTCACTTCAGGGTGTTTACGGACAAGAAGCCAGCCCATGTGTGAGAAGAAGAAACCTCTGTAAATTATGCGGATTACTTGAACAAGTGATATGACTGGAACTTTACATGGACCATTTAAGGTCTACATGAATATCATCTTGCAAAACTATCAAAGTATTGGCGATCTAATGAACATTCGAGCATACTCGTTGAAATTTCATGAGTCTTCATGCAGAATCTATGAAATCAGTTCAGTCTGCACCCAATCTCCAGCTATTGTAGCAAGTTCAGTGGAACCACCACTATCATGTTTCTTTTACATTTCATAGTTTATATCTGTCATATCTTATACATATATTATATTTGATGTATCTTATATAATTTCTTGAT